TCGGATCTTAATTATTTTTTAGAGACAAGATATAAGGTGCGCCGCAAGTATCTCCTGTAGATGATGTCCTTCGGCTCGTAAGAAATCAAACGAAATATGGTCCAGTCCCGAAGCCACGGCTGACTTCATAGTCTGATTTGCAACGTGTAGTGTAAAATAAGTCACAACAACAGCCGTTCAAATTACTTGTATTCTAGCTCATGTTGTACGATTTTTTGTTGACTTCATCACAGCATTTTCACTACTTTTGGCAATACTGGGTTGAAGAACTGGGGTAAGCTGACGATATATCGTCCCATTTTCATCGTGGTCTTTAAGTGTGGCCTCGTCCAAACGCACTCCATTAGGAAGGGGGAGGAAAGTCGTTCGATACCCGTTTCCTCGCTGAGAGCGCATAGTTAGGTATCGGTCTGATCAATCAGATTCAGCACGATCGGAGTCTTGTAGTGTGCCTTAGGCTTTGCTCCGCTTGCTGCTCCTACAATGACTACTTCATATTACGCACTAATCTCCGTAGCGAAAAACTACATATTGAATTGGAATTTTTACGATTTTGACGCTTACTCAGCTCTCAAAAGTACACCAAGAACGACGAGCTAAGGTGCACCTGGCGCAATGCTCAGATCATGTTGGATCTGATCGTTTGTGCGAGATCCATCTGTATGAGTTTCAGCTCATCCTCGCTTCATTGAGTACCTGAATCTTCATTACGTAGATCAATGCCAAAGCTAACTATTACAAAACTGGAATTTTTAGCCTTGCACCTCCTTCATTCTCTCAAAAAGCTTCATGGATATGCTGTGTTGGTAAAGATTATTAATATTACTGGATAAATGGTTGTTGATAGTGTAGTCTTGAGAGTAAGCCGGCAATCGTTCTTGAGGAGAAAAGTAAAGGGAAATTCTCACAGTTTCTGGAATTTGAGAGACTGTAGTTTCTTCTTCCTTTTTCGTCTTCCTCACTTTACAACCATCTCCGATAACTACCCATCACCTAACCGAAATGTCCACAAGCCTGCTCCTTAAGACTTGCAGTGCGCTGCGCAGGAATCTCAAGTGTGCAGTTGAGTAGTTCACTCAATCCCGTTCTTTTAAGACGTTAACCGATGAAAACTCTCTTGGGACGAAGATGTACATCAGGGATTAGTTGAATTTTGTATGAAACCTTTAAAAGTGTAAAAACAATAAGCTCCTCCATTCTGTGTTATTTAGGTTTGCGGCGGGACCTACAGACTAGCGTCAGACTTCAGGTGTATCATCAAACGCTTTTGTCTCTCATAATTTGCTTTTGTTTCACCAAACGCATGCACCGCCTAATCTACTTGTGACGATACGACCAGATCAAGGCAATCCTTCTTGTCTCGTTCGCTTTACAAACTGCAAAGTCGTCCTCGTTGGAATTGCAAGCTGATATTAGTTCTCGTAAGGTCCAACCCGGAGTCGCTCGCCATACGCCCGAGGCCTACATGACCGCATCAAATGCACAAAGCTGGGTGATGGTCACTGCACAGTCATAGCATTTGCGGAAGGCATCCACTGAGCTTATCTGCCATGAACACCATTTTGAATGTTCGTGTATTGGTTGCCACCAATTTGTGTGCGAAAAAGAGCTTAGTATTTGTACCTCCCTGCTAATACTTCATGTTATATTACAGATTAACCTTCGAAAACCTATGGCTGTAGATGAATTTGACCCTTTGCAAACAGCAAGAAGAGCAGAACACTAGTTTTTTTCACTTACTACCACATGTCTCAAGCTCATTATTCTTGTTGCAGTCTGTAAATGCCTCTTGCTGAATTGAGCAATAAAACACCTCAACGCACGCAGCACTATTGTTTTTCAGGAATAAACTCCAGTTAGAGGAATTTACCTATCAAAATAGAGCACTCACAGATCGCAAAAGCATGCCAGAGAGAATTTTGAAGTAACTTCAAATTTTTAGTGTAGGAACAGAAAATCAGCTCGTAAGACCTTGGAGGCGTTGGATTCACGCAAAAGTCCCTAAAATGAATCGCAAATGCCTCTCAATCACGCCAGAGCTCCTATCTCATTTGGGTCAGCTCTTCTACCTAACGAAGGCATCATTAATCGTCTGCCTATGGGACAGCAAGCCTTCTTTCTGTATTAAGAGAAACATTGTCGTAATTATAGGGTGAGTATTTGCTAGCAGTATCACACGATCGAAAAGTATCTGTTGTCTGTGAGATTGGAGAGACCTCGGGTGGAGTAGACTGCACTTCGTTTCGCCATTTCAAACCCTGAAGAAGGCGATGCTGCAAAATCGCACCCAATGATATTATATTTTCACAGACAAATCAGTAAAATGTATAGTATGCCAAGATTTTTGATCTGCGAACATTCCAATTTTAAAGAACTTCTTTCCTTGAATGAGCTTGGGGTACTTTCAAATCATGTTTAT